TCCATGAATCACGGTGTCACACTTGAGAGTCCAAGGCAGGAGGATCTTGAGTTCTGGGACAGTCTAGGCTAAAAATGGAGGCTGTCTTAAACAAGAACCCCAACCTAAAACAAAACCCTGCGTTTCTTTTGCTCTTTTTGAATTAACCCTGCTTGCCATATTGCAGTGTGGAAAATGAAAGGTGTATAATTTATAAATAAAATTTTGATAAGCAATAACACAGAAGAAAAATAAAAGGCACATGACAGTATACATGTGATCTAAGACAAATGTTAGCGCTTAGATAAACACTTACTCTGCAATACCTTCTGCCCCTCGAATTTAGATGACCGTTTTGGAGCTTGATTTTAAAGTAAACTCACGGTACCCCATCCCTAGAGAGGCTTACACAACACTGTTGTTGTTTCTTCTCCTAAAGTTCAGAGCCGAAGTTTTCTAAATCTTTCCCTTGGTCTAAGCTGCTGAGAGTGTCACATGGCTCTGCTTGGAGATTTGTTGAGGAGAACTGCAATACTTCACACTTCACTTGAAAGCCATGAAAGCGTGCTCCAGGTCATTATCGGAGAATTTTAAGGAGCTGTTTGCTGCTTTGGATAGTGGGATTAAGGGAAAAATTTATTGACAGCATATGTTCTTATGGACATATGCTTTTTAAAAAATGCACTGAAGCATGTAGAAGCATTACTGAACATTCTTGATGGATGGTACATGGTCACTGGTCCACAAATGGCCTTTTGCCTTTACATCACTCTCATGTAATAATGAACACTATGAGACCAACACCCATCCCCGAGCTAGACTGTTGGCATCATTTTACCTCCCTACCTCCAGGAAAGGCAGCAGCCTCTATTCTGCCCTAACCTGTCTCTCACATCAGCCTCTCTCCAACAATGGTGCAATAGAACACTAAGATTGGAGGTGAGGACACAACTTCTTCACAAAGTTTTGCTTAGCTAGTAAGAAAATCTAACTTCAATTCACTGATCACACACAAAAAGCCACCATGGTAACACTCACCTGTAATCCCAGCACCAAGGAGGTCAACTGTGTATTTCCCTGATTCCCTTGCAGCTATGTTTGCTTTGTTGAGCCATAGCTGCAAGGGAATCAGGGAAATACACAGTTGCCATTGAGCTCTACTGCATCTTGCTGATGTCCTGACACCAAGCTAGGCCATAAGGCTAGTCTCAAATGGGTAGCTGCAAGACACAGTGCCTTAAGCCTTCCCATGAAATTACAAAAAGCAAGTGACAACATTACAAAGGGGAGGGGTGCAAAGAAACGTCCTTAACTCATAGATTAGTCCTGTTTCCTGAACTCAGGGTCTTATTCCAGGACACACACACCCTTATTATTTAGGATCAAATCACGGGTAATTTCTTCTCAGCTAGATACCCAAGTTCCCAAAGACAAATTACAGAATTTGTTAAAATTTTAATGGCCACTGTTGTTTGTTACCCCTCTATCCATACTTGCTGATGGCATTTCTTCAGCCTGGAAAAATACACCACTACACTACCTTTAGTGAATTGTTTTCAGGAACAGTTGGAGGAAGTCATTTGGGTTCACGGTCAGGTATAGTTTATTCACAACGCACTGTGCACTCGTCCCTTACCACTTAGCCCCAAATTCACCCCTGTCTGACCACATTGACATCTTTGCTGTTCCTGATTTTAAGGTGTGTCAGTTCGGTAAAGCCTGAACTACATGTCCCAGAATTCCTCCTTGGCTGTCAACCTGGATGCCGGTCTTTAGAGAACAGGATGTGAGATTTGGAATGCAGCAATGAAGAAGCTGTTACAATGCTGTGCAGGTCACAGCCGGGTTCTACAGCAGCTTGCGTGGGTTGCTGCTGATCTGCGGTTGCTCTGTGGATGTGGGCAGCTGCTGCCACAGTTCCTGATCTGTATCCTGAGCCCAGGTCACAGTGCTCTGCAAAGAATGCCACCTGCAGTTCTCCTGTGTGGTTGAGGGAGAGGCACAGGGACCGGGTGGGTTCTAAGGCATCTAGGTTCCCATTTGACTTCACAGGGTCCAGTTTTCTCTCTAATTCTCTGCTGCATATTGAGCTTTGCTTCCAGACTACTGGGCCTGCTGGTCTACCAGGACTTTAGATCTATCACTCAAGGCAGAGGCACTCTTCCATTGGTTTCCCATCACAGCTTCTAAACAAATGCCACCTTCCATAGTACTCATGATGTTGCCCCTGAATGCTCTCTCGTGTGCCCGTTCTCACCTCTTCACCTTTGCCTTGACTTTCTCTCTGCCAAGGCACTCCCCTATTAGATAAGTACAAGATCAAACACCCTTGTCCTCTCTTCAAGCATTCACTTTCTCAAAGACTGCCTAATCAAAATATTTGAAACCCAGACCACTTGGTTTAGGCATTTTGGATAAGGGACACTCAACCACTTTCGTGGGTCTAATGCAGGCAACCATAGCTGCTCTGAGTTCATGACTGCCATGACCCTGTCATGTCCAGAAGACACTGTTTCTCTCTGGTCCTCCCTGACCTCCAGCTCTTAAAATCTTTCTATCCTTCTTCAGAGATGGTCCCTGAGCTGTGGGAGAGGGGATGAAGATGTCATGTCTGTGGCTGAGCACTCTACTCACACTTACTCTCTGCACTTTGATCAGTTGTGAGTTTCCAATATGTATTATCCAGTGTCCCCCAATATGAAAACACTTTTGTGAGGAGGCCTGAGAGTGGCAGCAATCTCTGGGTAGAGAGATGTAAGTTTAGAGGGAAGTTTGATATTATGTTTAGTAAAATAATAGTTGTTACAGGATGGTCTGGTGCTTTGTATTTAATTCATTGTTTCCCCCCCCCCAAGATTCTTACTGTTCTGTGAGCAGACCCTCAAGTGTACCAAGTGATGCTGTGTAACCTTGCCTCCAGCTTATCCCTGATTGGCTAATAAGGTTGCCTACACCTGGGCAGGGCAGAAGAGAGGTAGGTAGAGCTAAGGTTCTATAGCTTGGGGGACAGGAGGATCATGGGAGGGGGAAGAGATGAAGGAGGAGAGAGACAGGAGAGGAGAAGAAGAGGCAGAGAGTGACACAAAAAAGAACCATACGGCTGAGAGGAGTTAGCTTTGAGGATCAGCCATGGAGAGAAGCCCAGGTGAAAAGCATGTGCAAGTATTTATGGGAATTATGGATGGGAAGTAGCCCAGATAGAAATAATAAAGCAAGTGGGCTGGGATGTGGAGCTGAGAGATAACACAGTAGCTTATGGGTCTAATCTGCCCCAGCCTCAGAGTTTAAGGCATATTAACAATCTAAACATCTCTCTTTTATTGAAACAATAGAGACTTAAATAATAACCACAGTAATAATCTATGGATTAATAGTAAATGTCAATTTTCTACAACAAATAGTAGTAGGTTCATCTTGAGGTCTTTGAACTCCCCAACTACACACCTTTGAAGGAATGAGTTTTAAGTCTGAGTTTCCTCCTGTGAGGTGGTTCTTAAATCCAACCAGAAAGCAGTTGCTTGCATGTATGACACTCGGCACCAGTGCACCAGGACACATGTTGGTCAGACCTGTCATTGTGGCTCACAGGGTTCACAGCTGGGTAAGACTGTTTGCTGATGACCCGGTTTGCTAATGACTTTTCCCTCACAGCAGCCCACATAACACTGTCTACTATGACGAAATCTTGCTAGCAGGGAAGAAACTTCCTGGTCAGCACCAACTTGATTTCTTCATACTATGACCAAAGTATGTGGTGTCTTTAGCAACGGGCATTTACCATCAAGTTGTAGTGAGCAATCAGGAGCAATGGAAACAGTCTGTATTGTTTGGGGGCCTCTGACCAACAACTCAACAAGGAGAGGCATGGCACACCTAGTGCCAGTCTTCTTGCTTGGTAATCTAGGGCTTCATGGAGGAGCTCTGTTCCCTGTGTAAGGGAACTTCAGGTCAACTCTCTGTATGAATAGAAGTCCCGCTCTTTTCAGAGCATCTATCCTGATTTCCATAGTGGCTGCACCTGTTTACAGTCCATCAGCAGTGTATAGGGCTCCTTTTCGCTCCACTTCCTCACCAACATTTCCTGTCATTGGTTTTTTTTAAAGTCTTTACAATTTTTTTATAATTCTTTTTTTTTTAAATAATTTCTTTTATTTTTCAAGTACATTGGTGTTTTTGCCTGCATGTATGCCTGTGTGAAGCTTGCAGATGCCCTGGAACTGATAGACAGTTGTGAGCTGCCGTGTGGGTGCTGGGAATTGAACTCAGGACCTCTGGAAGAGCAGCCAGTGCTCTTAACCTCTGAGCCATCTCTCTCCAGCCCTGTCATTAGTTTTCTTATCCACATCAATTCTGATTATAGTGAGAGTCATGTCAAAGCAGTTTTAAATTTGCATTTCAGTGATGGCTTAAGATGCTAGGTAGTTTTTCAAATATTTACTGGCCGCTTGTATTTCTTCCTTTGAGAACTGCTTATTCAATTTGTAGCTCATTTAGACTGGATGATTTGCTTTGGAGGGCAGTATTTTTATTTTTTGAGTGCTTTATAAAATGTAGCAATTAATTTCACAAGATGTTCGGCTGGCATAGATGTTCTTCCTTTGGATAAACTGCCTCCTCGCCCTTCTGATTGTTTCCTATTCCATGCAGAAGGTTTTTATTTCCTAAGTCTCATTTGTTAGTTCTTGGTTTTATTTATTACGCTGCTTCGTCCTTTTAAAATGTCCTTCCCTCTGCCTAGATGTTGAATTGTTTTACCTGTGTTTTCTTCCGGAAGTTTTAGCATTTCAAGTCTTATTTTAAGATCAATGACCCATTTTAAACTAACTTCTGTGTGAGGTAAAAGGTATGGATTTAGTTCCATCCAGTTCTCCCAACACAATCTGTTAGAGGAGGTAGACAGGGCTGTGTCATGGGATGGAGGGCAGGGCAGCTCTGTGGTCATCTTCCTCTCGGAGAAAGCAGGTCTCTGTCTGTCTTCCTCCTCCCTCGCTGCATTGCCTAGATTTGATCTGATTTGATTTTTATGTGTCCTAGGCATTAAACAGCGTTGACCACCAAGCCAGGCATTAAGCTAGGATGGACAGAGGACCGCCATCTGCTCTGCTTCTGACTGATAAAAGAACAACATCACCAACAAGGTGTCTCTTATCCCATTGCCAGTGCTGTTAATAGATTCTTTTTTTTCTCTTAAAGCTAGTATCTATTTCCCAGCAAGTTAATTATTGGTATATAGAAAAGCTACTGATTTTTATACATTGATTTTCTGTCTTGCTACTTTCTTGAAAATGTTTAATCAGGTCTAAGAGTTTTCTTATGGAGCCTTCAGGGTCTTTTAAATATAGGATCATGTTGTCTTCAAATAGGGGTGATTTGATTTCTTCCCTTCGTATTTAGATCCCTTTTATTTCTTTCTCTTACTATTCTAGTTGATACCCCAAGTACTGCACTGAGTAAGTGTGTCTCATTCCTGAACAAAGGAAGTGCTTTCAGTTTCCTGTTAATATAATGTCAGCTAGAGCTATGTCTATACCTGCTTATAATTTTGAGATATACTCTTTCCATTCCTTCCTGGCTTCTTCAGGGTTTTTATTAAATGTTATTAAGATCTTTTCTGAAACTGTTGAGATGATCATGTGATTTCTGTCCTCAAGTCTATTTCTGTGCTGTATTACACTTATTGATTTACATATTTTGAACCATCTGTGCTTCTCTGAAATGAAAACTACTTGGCTGTAGCATGATTTTTCTTAATGCCTTCTTGAATTTAGTTTTGAAGAATTTTATTGAGAATTTTTGTGTATGTTTATCAAGGAAATTGAACAATAGTTTTATTTGTGTCCTTTTCTGGTTTTGGCATCAGGAGAATGCTGGCTTTGTAGAGTATGAGTGGCCAGGTCCTTTCCTTTCTACTTTATGTAACAGTGTGAGGAGTTTTCTTTAAAGGTTTAATACCATTTGACAACAGCTCTATCTGGTCCTGGGTTACTCTTTGTTGGGAGACTTTTTGTGCCTGCCTCAATCTTGTTGCTTGTTAATTAATGGGCCCACTGAAGTTGTTAATATCCTGATTTAATTTTGGTAGATCACATGCATCTAGATTTTCTATGTTTTTGAAATACATTTTCAAAATGCTCCCTAGTGATCCTCTGGATTTTATTAGAATCTGCTGTAATCTCTCTTTTTTCTTATGCAATTTTATTAGTTTGGATTGTCTTTCTTTTCATTGGGGGTTTGTTGGTCCTCTTTCTTTTTTCAAATAACTTTTTGTTATTAATGATTTTCTGCTCTGGCTTAATTTTTGTAAAATATTTTATTATTTTATGTCTATGGGTGTTTTGCCTAAATCTATATCTGTGCACCAAGACTAGATGAGGACATTGGATCCCTTGGGACTGAAGTTATAGATGGTTGTGGGCCACCATGTGGGTGCTAGGACTCAAACTTGAGTCCTCAGGAAGAGCAACTAGTACTCTTAACCACTGAGCCATCTCTCCAGCCTCTCTGCTCTGATCTTTATTATTTTTGCTGCCTACTTCTGTGTTTGAAACCTTGAGGTGTATCATTAGAGTATTCAAGTCACACACTACCATCGTATCAGGATCCACATGAGCTTCCATGACATTAATGCTTGTTTCATAAAATTGAGAGTCCCAACATTATATATATATATATACATATAATAAATTGTACACACACACACATATTAGTTACATTTTCCTGAAAGATTGTTTTAACACAAGGTGCTAAGTAAGTGTCTTTCTGTGATTTATACTGGTATTGAGCCTGTACTGAGCTTATATGGGACAGGTGCTCAATGTCTGTCAGAACTGTGTCCTCTTTGTGTGTCAGAGCACCCTCTTGCCCACACCTAGCTTTGTGGTCTGAGGGTTAGGCAGGTTATACCACTGTAGCGGTTTGGGGTAAGAATGGCCCCACAGCCTCTTATATTTGAATGCTTAGCTATCAGGGAGTGGCACACCTTGGGAAGGATTAGGAGGTGTGGCCTTGTTGGAGTAGATGTGGTCTTAGTGGAGGAAGTATACACTGAGATGAACTCTGAGGTTTCAAAAGTCCAAGCCAGGCCTGGTGGCTCTCTCTTCCTGTTGGCTGTGGATCAGGATGTAGCTCTCAGCTACTTCTCCAGCACCATGTCTGCCTGCATGCCCCCATGTTCCCTGCCATGACAAATAACAGACGAAACCTCTGAAACTGTAAGCCAGCCCCCCAATTAAGTAAGAGTTGTCAAGGTCATGATGGTGTCTCTTCATAGAAACTGAGCAGTGATTAAGACACCCGCTATCCTGAGACTCCCCAGATCATAAATCTGTGGCTAATGTGCCACATGGAGTGAGGTGTCTCCCTAGTACATGGGGCTGGGGAAGCGGCCACAGCCCTGGAATCTGTGTAGGTGGAAGACCTGTTCTGTAATTCCCAAGCCTGCTGAGTGGTGAAATCCCTGCTACAAAGATGCATTTATGGCTGCGGGTGACTCATTCCCCTGGTGCTTCAAAGCTCAGACTCCAGAGCAGTGCTTGGTGCTTCATTTTATTCCTCAGGCTTGGTACTGTGAGACTCCAGTTATTCACTGCTGAAGAGTGTTTCCTTCTCAGTGAGCCTTACTGCCTAAACAGCCTCCTGCTGCCTGCATTTTTCACCTTTTAGGCATCTGCAAGCCCCACCTCCCCATTCTACACAACTGGCCCGGGCCTCTCAGCCTGGGGCTCTGGCACACTAAGTTCAGCCCCCCTGACTTGTGGTTGTTCCCTATTATCTTTGAAAATGCTGCCTGACTACTCTGCTTTGAGTCATATAGAGAGGTAATATGGGATTGTTCTTCACTTACATGTGAAGGAATTACAATCTCACCAAAACCTGTAACCTGCTTCTCCTCACCCTGCCAGGGAACTGCATGGTTGGGCCTGTGTTTGGCGTGGCGTGGCTTACTTTTCAGTGTGTACTATAGGTTTACAACTCAGCTGTTCTACCATTAACTTTCAATTTCTAAAGCGCTTCCTCTCTTTTCCCCCTTCAGGTAGTCTTTTCTACTTTTATTTTTTTTTTTAATTCTTAACTTCTTTGTTAGCTCACACAGTGGCAGCTTATCTACAACCTTATGTGGAATCTCTTATTAACTGCTTGTGTAGTTTTGGTATATTTACCTTCTATTCCTCTATCTCTATAAGCTACTACCGGTGGTTGAAGCTTCTCTGGGAGTCTCCTACCTGGACACTTGTAATAGTAACAGCTTGATTTATTAAGTTTATTAGTTAATAAATAATTACTATTAACAGCTAATAGTAATAGTTTAATTTCTCTTTTTTGATAGTTTTTCTTTTCCTATTGTGTTGGCTACAATCCCTAGTACAATCTTGTTCTCACAATGTCCTCAGCACTGTGGCTCTAAGCAAGCTCCATCTCCAGCTGTTAGTTTTTCAGATGGGGCCTCTCTATAGCCTACTGGCTTTGGGCTTCCAGCCTCCACTTCACACGTGTGGGGATTACAAAGTGTCCACCATGCCTGGCAATGTCTTTTAATGTAAGTAGTCCATGCCCTTTGACCTCCTGCTCACCGAGACTATATATTGCCTTCCTACCCAGTCTCAAGGGATTTTGCTTATTTTCAGAACACATTGCAGTTAAAGAGAACGTTCTTCACCACTGAATCTAAGCAACTTCTTTTAAAACTCTCCTTGTGTTGGGGCTGGGAGATAGCTTGTTGGCATGAGGATGTTGGTTCAATCCTCAGTGCGCATGTGAAAAAAAGTGGGTGTGATAGAGTGTGATTGTGATGCCAGCATGAGGGAAGCAGAGGCTGGAAGGGCCTTTGGAATTTGCTGCTCACCTAAAAGAATCAGTAAACTTCAGTTTTGGTGTGGAAAGTCACTGAGGAAGACACAGGAGCCTACACATACACTCAGACACACATTTGTTCACACACACCAGTACACACATGGGCACAGACACACTATTCTTTCCTAGTATAATGGACTGTTTGTGCTTTCAGTAAGATCACCCTTTCCTCAGGTGCTGGATCCCTGCTCTTCCTCCTCTCTCTGGCCCTGCAATCACCCTTCCTTTCTTCCCCTTATCAGCAAGTTTTTCCTCTTCTAAAGAGAATTAACTTACAAAATTAAACTCTCTATTCCGGTTCCCTGCTTCCTTTTACAGCAAAGCATCTCAGAAGGACCACCCACATTTGCTCATTTTCACCCTCTCATCCCAAATTATTCTCTCGTGTACTACTCTAATTAGGCCATTGTCCCTAAAATTCCATTGAAAGTGCCCTTGCCATGAATAATAACCAATACATTGTCAAAGAAGTGCAATGGCTCCCACCCTTAATCCTATTAATAATATCTCAGCAGTAACAGAGGATAGAATTGTCCTCTGGGCCCACGTGTAAAGGGTGTAAATGCCTGGGTGGGCTTTTTTCATTTATATTTTTCAGTAAGGCATTTGGCTAATGTGATACAAGGAAGTGCTGTCTAATTAACTAGAGGATCCTTCTGTTATTGGGGGGGGGAGCCTTTCCTGCTAGTTTAAAAGGTTATAGTGGAATGTAGTGTGTGGGTGGGGTGTTACATATAACAGAAGCGGAGCAGCAGCTGTTGGTTTGCAAGGGAGGCCAACACAGTTCCCTTCGATGAGGTTCAGTATGAAAGGGCTCAAAGCCATGATTGGGGCTCGAGGTGGGAGGAAGAACAACAACAATAATAATAATATCATTTGGGGAGATCTAAACTCAGTGGGGCCTTAAAGGGATGGAGTGGCTTCCCTTTAAAATCTGAAGAGATGCTTCATCAGAGGATGGGAGATGGGAAGATAAAGAGGGCGTGAGGAGGATGGGAATGGGGCGAGGTGAGGAGCCTCTTCAGTGCACGTGCCCCTGTGCCCCTGCACCTCCACTCAGGAATCTCTGGCCAATCTTGTGCGCCCACTTTCTCCCTGGGTACCCAAGCCTGTTGCGCACTGGGTGAGCCTGAGGGGAGGAGAGCTTAGCTGGGCACTGGCTATTGAGTGCAGGTGGGGGAAAAAAACTCATAAGGGCCAACAAGGAGCAAAGCCTGATAACTGTCAGGATAATAAGTTCTCACTGGGGTTGATGGTTGGGGAGCTGACTTTATGGCCCCAGATGGGGAGCAGGGAGGTAGCCAACTCCCGCAG